ATCAGAACGGTCATTAGTGGTAGCTGGGCACCATCTAGTTCTTCTGGTCTCAGGGTAGATAAGGTCGTCATGGTTTGTGCAGACTCTTAGTCCTGTGGACTACTTTCTTCTGTGAGTGTTTGGTTTCCTTCATTCTCTTTGACTCTGGATGTATAGAGTCCAATAGTTGTATCTTAGATGGCCACTCACAAGCTTTTAAGACTCCAGATGCTCATCAAACTAGGATAAAACAAAAATTTTTCATACTATACTAGGCCAGTTGGCCAAGTTGCCCCTTAAGACTATGACCCTAAGCCTTCAGAGCCCCCATAAACCAATCCCACGAGGTGTTTAGTAAGGATCTGTGTTTGTGTCCCCCGTAGATAATACCTTTTCAAATCCCTCTTTTCATCATCTGGCTCCTCTCTGCAGCTCCTGCGTCATCTTTGGGACTTAACGTTGTTGTTGTTATGTGCCATCGAGTGGGACCTGACTCATAGCGACCCCTCCTTGGGTTTCCGAGGTAGTATCACTACGGAAGTAGATTGCCCCATCTTCCTTCCGAGGAGTGGCTAGTGGGTTTGAACCTCCAGCCTTCTGGTTAGCAGTCAAGTTCCTTAGCCACTATGCTACCAGAGCTCCCCTGGGCCTTAACAAGTACTCTTAAACCTCTGTGCCAATACATGCGTCTTTGTGCAGAGCAAGGCTGCAACACCTTGGCCCATACGCACATGTCCTCCAAAGGCCGCCTTGAGTTGCCTGCACGTGTGGACATTAAGGGCACAGAGCACGAAAGCAACTCAGGCAACACCCAGGTCTTCACTGCCTCTACACCCAATGTCAGAACTTAAAATGCAGCCTGTTTCCTGCTCGCTCAAATTACACCCAGCTTGGTCCTGAAACTTAAGTGGAAGGCTCCAAAACATATTATTTTTGCTTTATCATGAAAATACAATGATACCCCTGCCAGAAGTATCATGGTCTTTCATCTGAATTAAAAAGGCTCCAAAAAGCACTGTTGGAACTACTGTTGCTACCCCCAAAGAGCTTTGCTGATTTATTTAGACAGCTGTTGTTTAGTTCTAATGATGTATGATAACACTTTCATATTATTCCAGGAAGTGTCCTGTAATATATTTTGAAGACTTAATGAAGTCTTATTAATACAGAACCTTACTAGAGCTATCAACTATTAAAATCTTTGCTGAGAAATGAGTGTTAATGAGAAATATTGGTTGGATATTTACTCAAGTAAGACTTAGTAAAAGGTTTATGTGCAGCGTCACTTACACTGAGAATAGCATTAAAATATTTCCTGTTACTTGATAAATCATGTCTGTATGTGTTTCTATGTGTTCGAAAAACAATCTTCACAGTACTGGTTTGTGAAGATTATTTTTAAAGAGAAGAGAAAAGCCAAAGCTGCATTTTAGTTTGTTTCCATACTCGGCTATTTTTTTTTCAACATCCTATTGTGTTTAAGTGAGTTTACATAGCAAACAGGTTTCCCATTCAAGAATTCACGCACAGTTTTTCTGTGACATTGGTTGCTACCCAGTGTCCACGGTGCCAACATTCTCCCCACTTCCACCCTGTCTTACCCATTTCCATCCCTTCAGCTTCCCTGCCCCTCCATGTCTTCTCATCTTTGCCTGTTTAGTCTCATGTAGTTGATTGTTGTAAGAAGCACATTCCTTGTGGATTTGTTGTTGTTTATTTTATAGGCCAATCTATTATTTTATGGAAGGTGACTTCCAGGAGTGGTTTCAGTCCCAAGTTAAAAGGGTCTTGGGGCAACAGTCTCAGGGGTTCCTCCTGTCTCTTATCTGTCTCATCTGACAGATTGACTTTGAGTTTTGTTCTACATTTTCCCCCCATTCTACCTTCTGTTGTGTCCCTGGTCAGAGCAGTCATCAGTGGTAGCCGGATACCATCTAGTTCTTCTGCTCTCAGGCAGGAGGAGGCTGTGGTTTGTGTGGGATGTTAGTCCTGTGTTTCTTGGAGTCTTTGGTTTCCTTCACTGTCCTTTGCTTGAGACAGGAAAAGACTAATAGTTGTATCTTAGATGGCTGCTCAGCAAACTAGGAGGTAGAACATTATCTCATGACCTATTAATGCTGGTTGACCTTGATGTCCCCTGAGGCTATGGTCCATAGCAAACACATTCTTCATGTGTTTGTTAGTCACCTGACTATCTTCTTTGGTGAAGTATTGTTCATTTGGTCTTTTTTTTTTTTATTATTATTATTTGTCATTTTATTGTTGAGGTATTGAGGTTTTCTGCATATTTTAGAGATTAGACCCTTGTCAGATGTTGTTGCCAAGATTTTTTCCTAGTCTATAGGGTCTCTTTTTACTCTTTCATTTATCTTTATCACAATATTAAACAGTAGAATCCTATTCGGCCATTTAAAAAATGATTATGTAAATCTGTAACATGAAAAGATCGCCCTTGACAGCTGAATGAAAACAGATGAATGAAAAAGCAAATTGTGAAACTGCCATATAATATGAGTTTGTTTATACCCTCCCCCTCACTCTGCCTCTCCTTGTATGCGTGCCTATCTGCATAGCAGGGTCTCTATCAGAATGTTATCGGTGGTCATCTCTTTGAGGTGAGACTTCAGGGCATTTTTGCTATCTTTCTTAAACTTCTCTTTGTTAGTTGAATCTTCTGCAGCAAGCATTTGTTATCTTTGTAATCAGGAAAAAATTTCATGTAACTGAAAATTCTAATTCTGAGTAGTTTTCATTTATTCAGGGCTCATGTCTCTCTCACTTGAGCATAGTTTGTAGTCAGTCACTGGTCAGGAATCCATTAATGCTGAATAACAAAGTGGTTAATTCTTCCAGCAATGGGACACTGGCTGCGCTTATTGGGCAAATTAATTCTTAGCCTTACCATTGCACTTTCACCCCTGATTTGGAGAGGTTATAGGGAAAGGATGGTCCAGGGAGCAACGGCTTATAGTTAACATGTGGGTCATCTTCATTCCAGTCCTATGTAACTGTGAGCACTGCGTACTCTACAGAATTTCACGTCGCCCTGTTCTGTGGCAGGAGGCTGTTTGACCCTCTCAGAGGCTTTTATCAAAGTAGGGATGGCTCAGGTTGTAAGGGAAACCCCTGGATTTTTTTTTTTTTTTCCTCCAATCTTTCCATCTATAACATTCCCATAAGGTAGTCTCTCCCTGGCCCCCTTTAGCCCTTAGCCTACCTGTTCTGAGCATGGCTAAATCTGAAGGAAAGACTTAAAAACAGGGGCGTGCCTGGGCGTATTGGACGCCTCTAGCATTTTGAGCCACCCACAGAAATCAAGCTTCACACAAATGATCAAAGCCAATCTGTAAAGAATGAAAAATACTTTGTAGTTATTTCTCAACTGAGAAATTAGATTTTTTAAAAGCTCAGTATGCCTTGGAGGCCAGTTAATTTTAACCAGCCATTTTCTGGATCATTTGGAGTGGTTCTGTAAAAGGACAAAATTATTATGTACTGTTACCTTTTGTGGAAGTGAGAACTATCAAGCTCACCACCATCATTTATATTTAAACTATTTGGGATGTCCAGAAAGCAGTAAGGCATTGACTTTTTGTTTGTTTTAAATATTTTATGGAGTTTTTGGGGAAAAAGAAGGAAGGAAGCCAGGAAAGAGGCTTTTGAGCAGATGACAGTAAGGTACAGCCTGGCATTAAATGTTAGCTGAACTTCAGCAGGAAGAGTTAACTACTATAACCATACATTTGGTTTTAAAATGTGACCTCGTACACTAGTGATTTTTTTTCACCTCTGTGTTGTGTTCGGCACTATTATTAATGCAGGAAAATCAGTAACATTAGTCATCTTAAAAGGGTTATTACTCAAGATGATTTAAATTGTGAAAATGTCAGTGGAGTCTGCACGCAGCCTGCCAGAGATGCCATGATTTACGCCTGCTGACACCCTCCTGCTGCCGAGAAGGGCCCGGAGAAGGAATGGCTGATAGGCTGCAGTGATCCGAATGCAGAGTGTGATCGCAGCAGTAACACATCCTAAACGTCCTAGGATTTGCCAAGGCTTCATGAGCCGACCATTTGTGCCCATTGGGTCATAATCTGCACGCTTCACGCAGATCCCTTGAATCTTCCCTGTTTAGATGGAGGTTTTACTGCAGAGGAGCACTGGAAATGGAAATGAGTACACAGGGAAAACACCATTTCCAAGAGTTCTGTGCTGGTTTTCAGCATGCTTTCCGTGTAATTTGTAATAGCCCAGGTGATGCTCACTTTTGAAACAGTTTAAAGTAATGTTTATGGTGTAAAAGGTTCTTCAGACCCCATTGCTCAAGTAACATCCACGGCTCAGTCCTTTGACCTGAGCACATAGTTAGTTGTGCATGATCCATAATTTCACGGTATTTTTCCACTTACATGGATGGATTAAGAAAACTTAACATTTAAATCCAGAAAAGTTGCCAGACAGAAATACTGACTCATAATACATCCTTGTCAATTCAGTGTCAAAAGTATACTTAATTCATCAAAACAGTGCACCACAGATAGTGTGGAAAGGCTCGTGTTTCCCTTCAAAGTAAAGGAGCCTGCCAGGTGCTGGGTTTGTTAAAAGCAGGTGAGGAGTGAAGGGGTTGGTGGACAGGGCTCACATTCTGCCTACAAAAGTCAGATTTCTCTGTATGTATTCATTTCTGCAAGGGCGTCAGAACAATTGCAAGTGCGTTCTGAGGAACGCTTTGCTGTTGTCGAATCAGCTCCTGACTCCTGGCAGCCCCTCACACAAGGGAGCATGGCGCCGCGTGGTCATGGACCATCCCCGCATTGGTTCCAGATCAGACTGCTGTGCGCCCCAGACCTTCCCTTGGCTAATGCTGGGAAGCAGACAGTCAGGGCTTTCATTCTAAGCAAGCTCCTGAACAACCACGTGGAGGAGAGAGTGACCGGAAGTGCGTGTCACCTGAACCCCTCTGTGTTTATGAAAGGGAAGTGGCCTTTACACCCACGTGTGCTGTCTTCCCCTCCCTCCAGATGAATACCTCGCTCCTGGGGAGCATCGGCATGCTGAACTCGGCCCCTCAGCTGCGCTGCATCAAAACCTACCAGGTGCCCCCGGTGCAGCCGGCCTCGCCCGGCTCCCACAATGCCCTCCGACTGGCGCGCCTCATCTGGACTTCCAACCGCAACGTCATCCTGATGGCCCACGACGGCAAGGAGCACCGCTTCGTGGTGTGAGGCTCCTGGCCGCTGCTCTCGCTGCTCTGGCGCGCTCTCCGTCCCCGTCCTTCCTCACGCGAGCGAGCCTCGGTGCCTGCCCAACCAGTGTCCTCAGGGCCCGGTCTGTACCACCTCTGCATGGTTCTGGGGCAGAACCCGCTCACGCCACCCACGATCAGAGCATGCGCACACCGCTCCACCGGATGTGACCCTCGCACTGGGTGGTTTTCCTGCCAGACCTGGGAGAACACGCGGCGAGCGGCTCCTGGGGGCGCGCCTGGGGCTGGGCGCCCCGCCGCAGAAGCCTGGAAATCGGTAAACACTGTGATTGCACTCCCAGCCCAGGCCAGCATTTTCAGGGCCCTAATCCGCCTCGGAAGTGCTGCTGGAATTGGTCTTTTGACATTGGGTTGTGAGGTACCATGGCAGTCCTAATTATTGAACTTATTTTCCTTTGGGTTTCCTAAAACATAACTATTGTTTACCAACAAGGTTCTGTGTTTACATTTTTTTGTTTTTCCTTCTGATGATTGCTAGGAAATTAGCCTAATCTCCTAGAGTTGAGCCACTGCTTTCTTTATTAATACCTGACTGATTTGAGATTAATGAGAAAATATCAAAGAAAAATACTTTCCTCACAGAGATACAGTTGTCCAGACACCTAATCTTTCAAAGTGCTCATCTCCTGCTTAAGTGATATTGTATTCAGTAGTTTAAAATAGACATCATCACTACTAATGATCTAGATAATATAATAAAGCAGTCAGTGTAACTCATCCCTTAAGGAACTTTTGTTATAAAGAACCCACTTTGGAAGCATAGCACATACTGAAAAAGAAGTCTCTAGTATCTACCACAAAGATGTTTTTGGTTATGATAGAGCCTGCCCCACTTCCTCCAAAGTCTATGAGTCTGCAGTCCCCATATGTATGACATATGTCAGTTATCATGTAATAATTATGAGTCAGCCTTCAAACTGCTAGTGATCACTTAAAGGAAAACCAGGAAGGTGTTTCTTTTAAACAAGTATCCTAGAAAATTAGTAAATATGGCACAAGCTTCCGAGAAAATATATTTAAAATTCAGCACTCCCAATTTATTTGAACAAACATTGTGCTGAGGGTGCTTATCTTGCTTCAAAGTAAGCTTTAGGTCACCATTTTCTCCACTGTCAAATTATGCTGGGTCTTGCTCATAGTAATGGGAAAAATCCATAAAATAATGTTTTGTATGAATTGTTCCTCACAAACTTTAATCTGTATGTAATCTGGGAAGCTGGTTGGTTGGTTCATTGGTTCGTTGGTTGTTGATTGGTTGATCAAGTGGGCAAAATGGTTTATTAAATTCAAAAATAGAAAACTGATTGATTAAAGTCAGAGAAAATATGCAAAGTTTACAGAGGAACCAAAATGATAATAGGAGCATTTAATTTAAAAAGCAGATTGTCAAAGTTTCTGTGATACACAGAATAGCAGAACCACAGCCTGGAACACACATCCGGTATTTCACTGATGGCGATTTTTAAACCCAGAAATGAGCCGTGAAGGCCAGTGGAGTCCTCTTTCATATTGATGTGAAGTGTACTGTTTCCATCGGTGGCAGATCCATCTATTCCTTGGTTTTAGACTTTCGGTGTTCTTTCAAAAGTGAATTTATGCCACCTGCATGTGCACTATATTTATAAAGATTATATATGTAGTTTCCAAGGAAGAAGCAAAGACCTGTACAGTGTAAACTTTGTTTGGTGAACATGCTGTTGTATTTGGTAGAGATGTAGAAACGTGTGGTAGAGTAAAGGTGCCCTCTGGTTTCCCAGGGGGTTCCCCCATCTTCTCTGTACCCAGCACATGTTTACTTTATGAACCTAAACAAGGATTAATTTATTCTAGACTGTTGTGGAATGATGAGGTGAGTGTACCTTATAGAGACTTTTAAAAAAACAAAATTTTCATTGTGTCAGGGAAATGGTGTAGGACTGTAGGCAGGCCCCCACATATGCTCATGTGGGATTATTATTAGGTGGGCTACACTTTGGAGATTTAGAACAAAGCTGTAAGGGCCAAAGGAGCTAGGCAGCTGGGTGATGGATGCAGGCCAACCCTTCACCCACTGTCTGCACAGACAGTCGAGGGGGAGTGGCCAGTAGAACATTGTGACTGTGGAAGTCTGGGGTAGTGATATCTAACAGCGAGACAGATGATGCTAACTGCTAAACTAATATTTGCATTCTTGTTAACACAAATCTGTCCCTGGCCATTTTGATGACCACAGTCCCAAACTTCATCACAGCTTAGATTTCTCAACACTGAGGTAAACTTTGTATTGTCACCCCAGTGTAAACTTTTAGTGTTTTATTGATTTTGTTGGCACTGTATTTGGACTTGTCCTTGTAAATGTAGAGACATATGTGGCTTCGTTGGTAATTTACAAGCAAAAGATGACATGCTGTGACACCTGTATGAAAATGTTGTAATGATTGAAGTCACCATGTACAGCAAACGAATTAAAATGTCTGCCTCTCAAGACTTTCCTTGATGATTCCACTTAATAGATTCTGTATGTACTAAGTGTGTTAAATAAAAACGAATTGTACTGAAGATTCTTCTCTGCGTAGGATTGCTTTTTCTTTGTTCATTCTTAAACATTCTCAGTTGAAGTCCACAGGCTCTTTCCCCATGTCTTTGGTACCGAATTAAAGCCCTCCATTTCTGTCTCATTACTCATTTTCCTGGAGAGCTAGCCTCAAGAAAGGCGAGCCTGGTCACAAAGGACAAGAAGGAAGGAAGTTCCCTCCTGTGCTGCAGATGTGTGAGAGAACCGGTAGACTCCCCACCAGAAACTCAACAGCACTCTCTGTGGTTTGGGCAGGGGAACTGTACCCTAAGTTGTTCCCTAAATAGACTGTTAATTGTTCCAAATTATGTCTTGTCAGATTCAGTGGCGTAGGTCGCCAGCCCCATGGGAACTGGGTGAGACATTAAATTCATTTCATTTAATACCAGTTTGGAGTTAAATTTGAATCCCTGAGGTAAAGGGTGTAATTGGTTTTCAGGAAAAGCAAGAATAACAAAATAGGTCATCCTTGCTCACAGAGGGTTATGGGTAAGTAGGAAAAGCATACTTCTCTTCCTCTAATTTTCAGATAAGAAGATAGAACAGCTTGCATTGAGTCAATCATCAGGTCACAGTGTAATGGTCTGTAAGAGAGACATAAAGGAGTTGAATTCAGCAGCATCCTTTGCCCTAATCAGGTGCCCAGCGCATTGGTCTAGAAACTGTTTTTAATGTCTGGTGATGACTTAAATGTATCATTATAGGGAAATAAGGGTAGTAACAGTTCTGTATGATTGGTGATCACATAAACTGATCAAATGTGGAAAGGGCATGACATTAATAGGAAGGTAAAGCCAAGCAGTGCTGGGTGAACTTTCACCTTTCACCCCTTCGGCTGACTGACAGAGCTGAGTGTTGAAGAAAATCAATACTTTGGAGCCAGGAGGGAAATATTTCCAACCTCTAACTAGAGAATGTATTTTGACAAGGCCAAGATAATCCAAGCTGCACAGGAGAAAGAGAAAAGAAGACTCATTTTTAAAGCTTGACACTTCAAGGTGTTTTTGTACAATGGTTTAGAGATCGTCAATATATACAAATACCAAAGGTCAAAAGGAAAAGCCAGAAGAATTTCAAAAATTAGCTGTTCAGTTCCTTTTGCTGTTGACTGAAAAAGATTACAGAAAGGCTCGTGATTTTTCCTTTAGACGAACTGAGCTCATGGCTGTGTCGTTGAGGTGATCATCTTTCTTTAATCAAGCCTCAAAAAGGGGCAGCATAATGCATGTGGAATGCCTTGGGAAGGTGCTCAGGCTTCTTGTTTCTGTTGATTTCCTTGGACATAAATTGTCTTTTGAGTGGTTACATAGCACTGTGCTAACATCTCAGAATTTTGTTTTGTGATTCACGTTTGCCCTGCTGTGGTGGCATCATAAATCTTAGGCTTTCCTTCACATTTAGTTAAATTATTTACATAAGAAATGCATTCATGTATCTTTGGAACTTGTATTGCTTCTAGTGCCCATAGTCCCTTTAAGCAAATTACTTATAAAAGTATTCTAATTAGTGCCCTTCTAAGCAAAAAGACTTAAGCTATTCACTCCGTTCTTGCCAGCAAGATTAGATCCATCTATTCTATAGACAGACACCTCCATCAAATGGATATAGACTCTCTTCTTTCCTATAGATAAGAAAAGAAGAAGTCGAATAGTGCCCAGACCTTCCTGCCAAGCTCAGAAGCACAAAGGAATCCTGAGTGCTCTGTGGATCAAAAGTCAACCCCTGTGTGACATGATCAACAGCAAGCCTGCTGTAAACATACGATAAGTATATGATTATTAAAATGGAAGTGAAAATACAGCTTCAAATTCTATACCCTCTTTCCTATTTGGGGGAAAAAAAATCCACTCTAAGGAAGTAGATGTGGTTGGAGATTTTTAGTTCTGTTTCAAAACGAAAATACAGGCAGCCAAGACCCCTCAGTGTTGTGAGATTTCCCAGAGAAGACCAGGAATTTAGCACATGCCTGATTAGTAGTAGTTGGCCGGTAAATATTTATTAAGTTTGTTAAATCCAGGAGATTATGCATAGAAATAGTTGGAAGAGTGGTGTGTGGAAAGCACTCAGTGAATGTGAGCTAGTATTTTCAGTAGACATTTAGAAGTCTACATTTTAGAAGTCTCCTTTGCATGTGAAAGCTGAACAGTGAATAAGAAAGGCTGAAGAAGAGTTGATGCTTTTGAGTTATGGTGTTGGTGAAGAATGCTGAAAAGTACCAGGGACTGCCAAAAGAATGAACAAATCTGTCCTGGAAGAAGTACAGCTGGAATGCTCCTTGGAAAAGAGAATGGCCAGACTTCTTCTTACCTACTTTGGTCATGTTGTTGGAAGGGACCATCCCTGGAGAAGGATATCATGCTTGGTAAAGTAGAGGGTAAATGAAAAAGAGAAAGGCTCTCAATGAG